CTACATTTGTGATCAAATGATTTAGTAATCTGGGCTTTGCTTATTAGCATTTGTATGACCTTATACAAGTCATTTTATTTATCTCAATTTTAATTTCCTCCTCTAATACAAGAAAAAAAAATCCTATCCTTCTCTTTAACTTGAAAAATGAATGTACTGGGAGAACTATCAAAGATAGCTGCTAATTTCTCTCTGATCCTTAGAAAAGATTTTTTCCAGACACCCCTTCTACATTTTGTGAAAAGTCCAAAGCACTTTTTAAAATTTCTGCAGATTGTCGGGGGCCTTACGCTCTCATGGGATATATCAGATTTCCGTTTCTTGCCCTTGCTGAGTTTCTACTATGTTTCTTGCTGTTGATTTACCTCTGAATTAAACTGAGGCTAACACGAAGCACAGTGACTTTCCTTGACAACAAACGCACAAACAAAATATCCACATGAAAACACTATGTGTGTCAGTCAGGATATACCAGGCCATGCTGTAGCAGTAAATGACTCTGAAATCTAAAAGGTTTAGGAATAATAAGAGTTTATTTCTTGCTCATATCACACATCCATCATGAATGTGGTGGAATGAGACAAGGTGGTGTTGCTTCTCAAAGGCTCTCAGCAATCTAGGATGAAGGAAAAATCATCATCTCAAATATTTCTAGCCACCATGTCAGAGGAATAAGAAATTTCTAGAAACTCTTGCATCAGCAATAAAATGTTCCGGCACTTGTCACTTTCATTTATAGCTCATTGGCCAGAACTAGTCTCCTGGCCCCACTAAAACCACAAAAATTTCCAGCACTGCCCAGCAGGGAAGAGATGGAATACTTGAGGATAAGCCCACATGGTGACCATACAATACATTGCTTGGGGAAGTTGAAGGATTTACAGTGTAGCAACACAAACATTAGATATCACTACTCTCAGAAATCCTTGCATACAAACCAACAGATATCTCAGCCATTCTCTCCTCTCTCTTCTACCCTTAATGTGTCCTTCAGCTCCATCCGTCTTAGAAGCAACAACATCTTGAAATTCCTCCTAAAGGCTTAAGCAGAGTGACTAGGCTCTCTGCAACCCTTGTCCCCTGCTTTTTGCTAACCCATGACTGTGTACGTTTTGCAACTACCATTTGCAAAAAAACCTAAGTTCTTAGTCTGGAGGCAATCCCTTCTCTATTGTCTTTGAATGGCTATTTTGGGGATAGGAAGAAGACTGCTAGATGAGTTATTCTCCCAGTTACACAAGCAAAACCTAACTGTATGTGTTAAAGCAATGTATACAATTTAAAGTCCTGCAGAAATCATTTGTACCATATTGGAAATTTCTTTGGCCCTCTATTTTCTCACTGAATGCAGAGAATAGCAGTCCTTCCTCTGACTATAACATGGTGGTCTTGTCCATAAAAATGCTCTGTGAACTCTAAAGCAGTATGTAAATTCAATGACAGAGGTCGGTGCACAAACACACGACTCTGTAGCTGTGAATTCAGAAGTTTTTCCAAATTCCAAGCACTCAGAGTCGATGCTCTTTTTCCTTTGGGTCACAGTAAGGAGGCATTTTATGGTCTGCTATCAAGTAGAAGTCAAGTTTCCCCACTACTCTGGTTTTGCCCGTCTTCGTGATTTAATAATGTAGTCCATATTGGAAGATGATGCAGTTATGTCAGTTACTAGAGAATTACATTTTTGTGTTCTGCTAAAGGGAAGTAAAGATTAGCTCTGCCAGATGCACACATAAAACTAGATAGAGGCATACCTCCAAGTCAACCCATCCATCTTTCTCTAGGACATGTCGACATGTGGAATTTATGAAATATGGACTGTATTAAAAATGTTAAACACTTTTTAAATGTAACTGCTGCAGAAATAAGATATCTTTTTTCCATTCGTTTGCTTTTTGGTTTACTGTTGTTTGGTGTTATTTTTCTTCAGTGGGACTGTCTATGCTTGTTAAGCACCGGTAAATGGCCAGTTATGAAGCAAACACAAAATATACATATGAATATTTAATAAGAAAGAATAGCAGAAATATAGTGTGCATTTGTTGCTCCACTGGAAAACTATATTCATTATTCTACAAATTATTCTTCCATAAATATTTCAGAAACTAGAAAAAAGGTTAGCATAGTGTACCCAGTACTTGGTGGGCTAAAAGCACTTTCGCATTTGCACTATGATGAATGCCAATCCCACTTCCATTGCTCAGGTCTGAAATCCATCTTTCAGTCAGTTTTAGGAGATAAGGTTTTTTTCATGTTTTCTTGTAAGCAAACATAAATAAGAAAAAAGGTAACAATTACCATGCAGGGACCATGGGTACTTTCTGGATCAGATGACAGATAAAAACTTCCTTAGTTCCAGCCAAGATTAAGAAATAGAATCCTAGCTATGAAACGTACTCTGAGGAAAAAAAAACAAACTCAAGTCTTTTATTCTAGTATAGTGCATCATAAAGTCCAAATCTTCTCAGTCTATTAATTTTTATAGATGCGGCTTAATTTCTTGCAAACAAATATTTATCAAGTGCCTACTATGTGCTAGGTACAGTGCTATGTGATGAAGATAAAACAGAGAAAAAAACCAAGGTGGTTATTTTTGACATCACCTCATTTATGAAGAGTGACTTTGTTTCAGCTAATCAACTCTGCATAGAATATAGGCTCATTTTGGGGGTTGGATGGTATTATTATTTTTCTTTGATAGTGGAAGAGTCAACAATCCATTCATTGTCCAACGAATGTGGTTACCAGGAAGCAATTACATGATTCCAGGATGATTCCCAAGAATAGAAAGACCAGATGTAAGTAACCTTAGACTGACTGTGTTAATGATTCTTTTGGTTTTGTTTTGCTTTGTTTTTGAGACAGGGTCTTTCTCCCTCTGTTGCCCAGGCTGGAGTGCAATGGTGGAATCATGGCTCACTGCAGCCTCAATCTTCTGGGCTTCTCCTGGATCGAGTAATCCTCCTGCCTCCACCCCCTAAGATGCTGGGACTACAGATGTGTATTACCATGTCGGCTTAATTTTGTTTAAAATTTAATTATTATTTTTTGAGATAGAGTCCACTCTGTCACCTAGGCTGAAGTGCGGTGACACGATCACAGCTCACTGCAACCTCTACCTCCCAAGCTCAAGTGATCCTCCCACCTCAGGCCTTTAAGTAGCCTGGACTCCAAACATGCGCCACCATGACTACCTAATTTTTTGTAGAGATGGGGTTTCACCATGTTGCCCAGGCTGGCCTCAAATGGTCCTCCCACTGTAGACTCCCAAAGAGCTAGTGTTACAGACATGGGCCAACTATGCCCAACTTTGGTATTGATTCATTTAGGCTATCAGACAAGGGGAGCTGAGGGTCATCAAGATAATGTAACTTCTACATTTAAATCATTTTTATCCAAATGTGGGTCAACTCTAACCTTCTCTGCTGAAATAGGGCCTTGACAAGTCTACCATTTTCCTTAACCATGGCCTGGCTTCGAACATCAACATAATTCACAGTCTTTGCCAGAGCTCTGAACTGATATGTACTGCAGTTAATGGTGAGTCAAAAAATTCTAAGACTCTCAGCCAGTTTGTGCGAGTTACGTGAAGAAACCACGCATTACAACTGAGTCCTCAGAAACCACTTTCAACTTGAGAGACACAGGTCACAGTGGACAGGAGAAATCAAAGCTCTGTGTATAAAGGATAGATTAAAATATAAACATTTCTCTAAAAAACTCACCTCCACCATCATGAGTTGTATTACTTAGACAACTGAAAAGTTTTCAGAGATACTGAAATTTCCTGAATTACAACAGTGATAATATCATCAACAGGAGCACTATACTAACTACAAAGAAGTCAATCATATGCACAAGCATTGCAGGCATTCTATGATTAAACAGTTTAAGTCACTGAGTCAGGGTAACACAATCAATTGATAAGACTATAACTTAGATTTTTAAGTTCTTAACATTTCTCCCGTTTTCCTTGAACACACCTGTTCCCACTGACAGCTTCTCCCAATTTTCTGCCCAACTTGGAATCATTTTTAAGATTAGTAGCAAGGGTTGTGAAGCCAGGTTTCTTGGTTTCTTATTTTATCTTTTCTTTAAACAACGTTTTTCTTTTATTATTATATTTCAATAGTTTTGAAGGAACAGATGGTGTTTGTTACATGGGTAAGTTCTTTAGGTGTGATTTCTGTGATTTGAGTGCACCCATCAAGCAGTGTGTAGTGTTTTACCCCTTACACCCTCCCACCCTTCCCCCCAAGTCCTCACAATAAATTATGTCATTCTTACACTTTTACGTCCTCATGGCTTAGCTCACACTTGTAAGTGAGAATATGTAAGCACATTAATATAATGTTAACTAACTCAGGAATGGAAAACCTTCATAAGTGGAAGGGAGCTAAGCTATGAGATGGTTTTCCATTCCTGAGTCACTTCACTTAGAAAAATGGCCTCCAACTTTATCCGGGTTGCTACAAATACCATTATTTAATTCCTTTTTTTTTTTTTTTTTTTAATGTTAGTCTTGATCTCCCAAATAGGCTAGAGCGCAGCGGCACAATCTTGGCTCACTGCAACCTCCATGTCCCAGGCTCAAGCTATTCTCTTGCCTCAGCTTTCTGAATAGCTTGGACTGCAGCCACGCACCACCACACCTGGCTAATTTTGGACTTCTAGGGGACACGGGGTTTTACCATGTTGGCCGGGCTGGTCTCAAACTCCTCACCTCAGGTGATCCATCCAGCAAAGCCTGCCAAAGTGCTGGGATTATAGGTGTGAGCCACACACTCCATTCTATGGTGTGTGTGTGTGTGTGTGTGTGTGTGTGTTACACACATACCACACTTTCTTTATCGACTTGTTCACTGATGGGCATGTGGGCTGGTTCCACATTTTTGCAACTGCGAATTGTGCTGCTACAAACATGCACGTGCAAGTGTCTTTCTCATATGACGACTTCTTTTCCTCTTGGTAGATACTGGATCAACTGGTATTTCTGCTTTCATAAAAATATGAAATGCTTCACACATTCCCATGTCATCATTGGACATGGGGCCCTGCTGATCTCCTCTGTTTCATTCCAATTTTAGTATATGTGCTGCCGAAGTGAGCACTGGTTTCCTATTTCAGATCCTACACTTTCTAGCTGTCTGACTTTATGCAAGTTAATGTTTCAAAGCCTCAGATTCCACATCTAGAATATGGGGATAATGAAGATCACAGAGTTGCTGCAACGATTAAGGAAGATAACACTCGCGCATCCGATTCTCATGGTGATGACAACAATGAGACAATGACAGTGACGGTGACAATGAGGATTTTCCATCTAGATCTATGAATGGAGAGAATCCCAGGGTTGGTGTAAAATCTCACAGAATCCCAATAAAAACTAGATGTATAATGTGTTTAACTCAAATAGTTTATGCAGTGAAGTTTTTCTTTTTTTAAAGCTGAAAATAATTACAAGAACACAGCTATAATTCACTGTCACAGCCTTGAGGAAGCTTCATGCAATTGCAGAAGATACACATAAAACTGAAAAATTGAAAGCCTGTTTGAAATATGTAGTCATAGCGAGCACTTCTTGTTTAATTGCATTCTGCTTATATAACTAAAAGACCTAAATTAAAGCATAATCATGTTTCTAATGATTTTGCACTTTTTTTCCCCTTCCAACATAAGGAAGCTCAAGGTGTTGAAAGAGTTGTGCTTTGGGACTGAGACAACTAATGTATAAATTAAATATCCATTTCATACAATTATTTACATAAATGAACAAGGGGGCCAAAATCTCTACTCATAGTTTATTCCTTCTTCATACTTCAGGAGGAAGGCTTGCTATAGATTTTTTTTTTTTTCCCAATGCATAGCAACTAAAAGTTTCTCAAGTGAGAAACACCAGGTACATATTTTAAAAGTTTCGGTGGCTTTGCATAGCCTGAGAAATGCTGAGAATAGAGAACACACTCCAGTATATCTAATTATCTTTATAAAATCTCCCAAAATCAATGGCATTATGCTCAAGACCAGCTGTGGCTGGGGAAGTCAAACAGAGCAAGTGTCAGGGAGGTTACTGAGAAGTATGACTTTCTTCCTAATAACACTATTTTTATGGAACATGGAGTTTTTGAAAGGTTATATTCTCTTAACTCTTTTTT